AGTGAATTCATTAAAGAGATAGAAATAGTGAAGAAAACCCAAACAGACATGAACATTGGAATGAAAAACTCAATAAACAAATTAGAAACAACAAGAAAAAGTCTCACAAGCAGAATGAATGAAATGGAAAACAGAATATCAAGACTGAATGATAAATTTGAAGATCTGGACTCCTTAAGCAAAGACTATGTAAAATTCAAAAACAAAAATAAAAGAAACAGGAATGGAATAACCAGAAAATGTGGGACAACATGAAATGACCAAATTCAGGAATTATACGCATACAAGAAGGAGAAGAATCTCAAGCCAATGGCATTGAACAGATCTTCAATAAGATTATAGAAGAAAACTTCCCTAAATTAAGGAAAGACTTACCTATAGAGAGTCAAGAAGCACATAGAACACCAATTAGACATGACCAGAAAAGAAAGCCACCACAGCATATCATAGTAAAAACATTAAATGTACAGAACAAAGAGAGGGTACTGAAAGCTGCTAGAGAAAAACAAGTTACAGATAAAGAAAAACCCATCAGAATTACAGCTGACTTTTCAATGCAACCTGTGAAAGCCAGAAGAGTCTGGAACAAAGTATCCCCAGATATAAATAACCATGGATGCCAACCCTGAATATTTATCCATGAAAACTATCTATCAGGGTTGAAGGGGAAAGGAAACTTTTTCATGACACAAATAGGTTGAAAGAATCCGTGTCCACCAAACCAGCCATATAGAGAATGCTCGAAACAACACAAAGGACCAAAGAAAGGAATGAGTATACCCAAGAGGCTACAGAAAGAAAACAAGAAACGTATAAAAATGGAAACACAAAGTAGGGCCCAAAACACAAAGAAATTAAAGTGACAGAATCCAATACACACCTTTTAATAATAACACTAAATATCAGTGGTCTCAACTCCCCTGTCAAAAGACACAGGTTAGTGCAATGGATCAAGAAAGAAAACCCATCTTTTTGTTGTCTTCAAGAAACTCATCTCACCTCCAAGGATAGACACTATCTTAGGGCGAAAGGATGTAAAAAAAAATTCTAATCAAATGGCTCTAAGAAGCAAGCAAGTGTTGCAATTCTAATATCTAACAAAATAGACTCAAATTAAAACTCATCAGAAGAGATTAAATGGTCTTACTTCATTCTAATAAAAAAATTGACCAAGAAGATATTACAATCATGAATATATATATATATATCCCAACTGCATAAAAATAGTCCTCCAGGACTATAAAACAGAGATTACTCCCAACTCAGTAATATTGGGTGACTTTAATACCCCACTACTTTCAATAGACAGGTCAACTGAACTAAGAATAAACAGAGACATCTGAATTAAATGACATCTTACGCGAAATGGACCTGACAGACATCTACAGACTATTCCACCCAAGCACCAAAGAATACACTTTCTATTCAGCAGCCCATATGGTTTATTCTAAAACTGACCACATTCTGGGACACAAAACAAACCTCAACAAATTTTAAAAAATTGAAATAATTACATGCTTTCTATCAGAAAACAGTGCAATAAAGCTTCTAGTCAACAATAAAAGAAGCTCTAGTAACTACACGAACTTATGGAGGTTAACAACACACTCTTGAATGATGAATGGGTCAAAGAAGAAATTAAGAAAGAAATACAAATATTCTTGGAACAAAATGAAAAGCAAGAACACAACACAACAAAACCCCTGGGGCACCTTAAAAGCAGTCCTAAGAGGGAAGTTTATAGTTCTTAGAGCCTACATTAAAAAATTAGAAAGAGTACATGTAAATGAGATGACAGTACACCTCAAGACTGGAAAGGAAAGAACAAACCAACCCCAAACCTAGTAGATGAGAAGAAATAACAAAAATCAGAGCAGAAATCAATGAAGTAGAAACAAGCAAACAAACAAACAACAACAACAACAAAAAAAAAATCAATGACTCTAAGAGCTGGTTCTTTAGAGAGTTAAACAAAAGAGACAGATCCTTAGCCCAGGTAACCAAAACAGAATTAACAAATCTAAATCAACAAAATCAGAGATGAAAAGAGAAACATCACAACAGACACCAAAAATTCCAAAACATTATAAGGGAATACTTTAAACATCTATACTCCATTAAATTTGAAAAATGTAAAAGAAATGGATGAATTTCTAAAGTCATGGACACCACAAGTCAAACTAAGAAGAGATCAGAAGCTTAAATGACTCATTACAAATAACGAAATTGAAACAGTAATACAATACCTCCCAACTAAAAAATGGCCAGGTTCAGATGGATTCACAGCAGAATTCTACCAGACATTCAAAGAAGATCCACAACCAATGCTGATTAAATTATTCAAAAAGATGGAAACAGAGGGAGAATTCCCAAACTCCTTCTATGAAGCCAGCATCACTCTAATACCAAAACCAGGTAACGACACAAGAAAAAAAAGAAGAAGAAGAAGAAGAAGTAGAAGATAGAGATGTAGCGCAATGGTAAAGTGCTTATCTAGCATGTGTAAGGCCCTGGGTTAAATACTCAACAGAACATAGATTACTCAACAAAATACTGCTGAGCTACATTCAGACACACACCAAAAAGATCATCCACCACAATCAAGTTGACTTTATTCCAGAGATGCAGGGATGGTTCAACATACATAAGTCCATAAATGTAATAAAACATAATGGACTTAAAGACAAAAACCACGTGGCCATCTCAATAGATGCAGAAAAGGCATTTGACAAAATTCAAGTTTGCATTCAAGTTAAAGTCCT